AGCCAGGCGTCTACGTGCTTGACTCAACAGAAACTGCTTCTCTAATATGCGCGGGGACTCCTATCACCTTGCTTCTTCATAAAATAACTTATATTATTTTTATTTCTTTTAGCTTATTTCTCTTAGTTCTGTGCCCATTGACAACAGTATATTGCGCTACTATATATTATGCTGGGAGGATTCCATCTGGTAGTGTTTATTGATCTGTTTACAGACTCTTTTTTACGATATTCAAAGGAATACAATGTTTTACCCTTCTTCCTTGCAAATTTATTGCTTCTGCTTGTAGTCAAATCATCATCTACGCTAGAAGTGGTTTCAGAGCTTGCGCGAGGATCGATGGTAGAAGGGGGCAAATGTTTGATGATCGAAGCCTAGAAACCCTTTGGGCCGCTCAAGCCAATCTTAGATGGAGAATGGGAAATCTCAGTATCTAGTTCCTTTGATTTATTATATAGATTGAGCAAGAGTTCCAAAATCTCAAGATGGGAGGAACCACTAACCCGGCCTCACTATTGTTAGGATTGATAGCCATACCAACCCAACATTAAACTCCTAAAGTGCCTTGCAACATGAGGCGAGCTTGATGGCATGCATGACTTGCTTCACTAGAGTTTTGAGTTTGACGAAGCCAATAGCCCTTGTTGGCGCTTTGAGCTCTCGGGTTTGGAGCTTGAAGATGTCAATCAACCGACACTGATGGGAAAATTATGAGGATAGAACTGGAAAATGTGAGCATTGCCAAGCTGTGCCAAACTGATTTCTAGGTAAAATTTGATATTCTCTAGTTTGATGTTCATTTACACATAATATACTATCTACATTGGGAGCAATGATCAATTTATTGAATTTTTTTGGGGGTTCATGTAGATTCGGTCTGAGAAGCAAATAAAAATTTTCACTTGTAAATTAAAAGGAGTGGGTTCTTGGTGGAATCAACTCTTATAATCTCATCAGCCATAAAGAAGAGTTCTGTCAAGAGTTGTTTGGAATGAAACAATAGTTGTTATGATACTTTGTACCCATAGATTTTGAGCAAGAGCTTTACTTATAATCATCGATTAAAAAGGCATTCGAGGCGGACGTCTCGAGGCGCGCCTCGAATCGAGGCGGAGGTCGGGCGAACTGAGGCTTAAGCCTCGAACGCTCGGGCGAGGCTTACGCCTTTTTCCACGGAGGCGGACGCCTCACCGCGTGAGGCGTCGAGGAGCATCGAGGCAGCGCCTCGAAAGTGAGAAAGTTACATTCACAGTCAGCGAGCTCCCGTTGTTTCTTCCGATCAAAACTTGGACCCCCGGCAGACTGGTATATTTTTGTATTCATGTTATTTTATTATTGGTAGTACAAATAATTGTTATTTTTGTTATTTTTTGTCATTATTTAAAATTTTAAATTAATTTATTTTAATCGTTTTGACTTTTGAGGCTTACGCCTTGATCCGCCTCGAGGCTTATGCCTCGCCTCGCTTAGAAAAAACGCCTCGATTCTCGATTTCGCCTTTTAAAACCTTTCTTATAATACTAAGGTTTATTATTGAGATCTCAATTTGTGGCCAAGTATTTCAAAGAATTTTATAGACTTAGTTTGAGGTATAATTCGAATGAAACTAGCAATGAATCGGCATCTCACTACAAATCGGGGTTTTAAGTAAGATATACAAGACAATTCAGATGAATTTTGTTTGATCATTATCTCACACAATCAGTTTCAACTATAGAATGAAAACACAGAGAAGTTGATAACGATGGTCTTACAATGAGTACAACAATGACCTTATGAAAAATACTTCTCACACCTCCAAATATAACTCCTTTCAATCCCAAGCTGCAAGCACTACTTCAAAAAGTTTGGAAAATGGCGCACAAATTAAACCTAACAATCTTGGAAGGAACAACCAATAGTGCTAAATAAACCACATTGAAATGTTTTTTTTGCTTCCAACATAGTCATAAGTTCAAAAAGTAATTGAATCATAGACAAGTTCAATTTGTTGAAGGGGATCAGGATAGTTAGTGAACAATGCGATAATGCTCTTGTATCCAACACTTAAGTTGAAGAACTCCTAGGCGCCAAGCCGCCAACGGCCAGGTCCTAGCATGCATTCTTGAGAAAATTCTAATTGTTCCTCGACAACTGGTGATCACACATGGAAACATGATATTTAGGGCACAGGATGCCATCAATGGCAATATGTGTGAATTATTGATCGATAATGGCTATATCGAAAATGTGATATTAAGTGCAGTGGTGAAAGCACTCCAGTTGCAAACATTTAAATGCTCTCACCTATACAGGAGCAGTTTGGTTCAAAAAAGTGTTGAAATGCTAGTTGTGGACATGTGTCGTGTAACTTTTTATATTGGAAAGTTTATCTCATGTGAAGCATCATGTGACGTATCTAATTTGGATGATTACCACCTTATTTTGAGGCGTCAATGGCAATTTGACATGAGAGCTATTTTTAATTGTGGAGTTAATGCTTAGAAGAGAAGAAAGATTCAACTACTACCCCATGCCACCCCCGATCAATTGCTTTGAAAAATTGAGTTATCACAATCGGATATGCTATTTTTGGCTTGCATCTCCTGGCTACATATGAGAGGATTATGCTATTTGCATTCGTTGTCATTAAATTTGTTCCACAATAGCTTCTTTGCCTATGCAATTCATGCTATACTATATTAATACGTCGATATTAATCCAGAAGAGTTACCATCAAAACTATCAACTTTGTGGATTGCCCAGCACCATATCAATCTCACTCTTAGAGCATTTTTGTTGAATATTTTCTATTATAAAATGAGATTGGATAAATACCAATTATTGGAAGATAAAATGAAGGGTTTATTGCAAAAAGCAACTGTTTCAACACAATTTGAGTTCATGTGCATTCATATGCACACATGGCTTGTTTGGGTTAGAAGAAGGATAGGATATGGCACTATGCGTGGATGGTTGCACTATCAATAAGATCACAATTAAGTACTGTTTTCGTTTGCCATGCTTAGAGTACATGCTAGATAAATTGGATGTTGTCACTGTTATTATCAAACTGGAACAAGTTCAAAGTCATTTGTATGATGAGTGGAAGATGATGTTCAAAACATAGGAATGTCTTACCCTTTGGGTTATGCAATGCTCTGAGCACCTTCGTGCAACTCATGAACAAGGTGCTCAATCCCTTCCAAAACTTTTTTTTTTTTTTTGCTTATTTCGATGATATCTTTGTTTGCAACTCCTTTTTATCCAAGCATCTTCACCATTCAGGTGGTATTTTCATCACTTTGCACTGGAACAAATTGTTCTTTAACTTGTCCAAATGCAAACTCGCCTACTCTAACATACACTTATTGGGTTTTATCATCAACATAATGGATATTTGTGTTTACCCATCGAAGCTCGTACTAATCTAAGAATGCCCGACCCCTTGATCCTTCATTGATATCTGAAGCTTTCATAGGTTAAATAATTTTTTGTTGTCAATCATCCATAGATTCTATGTGATAATGGCTCCAATCATCGATTGTCTCAAACTTAAAGGCTTATCATGGACAAAGGAAAAAATGCAACTTCGATGCCATCAAGATTTTGTTGATTTTTACCCCTATTGAGGATGATTCTAACATCTATGCATACCGTCCACTGGACTAAAATACCGTGGAGCTTGTCAAACTCGAGTCAAGTTCTTCTAAAGCAGGGGAAATTTGATGATGCCGCACCTCTATACACTGGGTTCATATGATGCTATTTATCCTATATGTGCAAGGACCACTGCCATTGCACAACTTCATAACATAGCTTTATATTTTTTTATTCC